GATCTCTCCCAGTAAATCTACCACACTGCCTCTGACCTACTGTCAGGTTGATCTCTCCCAGTCATCTACCACCCTGCCTCTGACCTACTGTCAGGTTGATCTCTCCCAGTCTGACATCTACCACCCTGCCTCTGACCTACTCTCAGGTTGATCTCTCCCAGTCTGACATCTACCACACTGCCTCTGACCTACTGTCAGGTTGATCTCTCCCAGTCATCTACCACCCTGCCTCTGACCTACTCTCAGGTTGATCTCTCCCAGTCTGACATCTACCACCCTGCCTCTGACCTACTGTCAGGTTGATCTCTCCCAGTCTGACATCTACCACCCTGCCTCTGATCTACTGTCAGGTTGATCTCTCCCAGTCTGACATCTACCACCCTGCCTCTGACCTACTCTCAGGTTGATCTCTCCCAGTCATTTACCACCCTGCCTCGGACCTACTGTCAGGTTGATCTCTCCCAGTCTGACATCTACCACCCTGCCTCTGACCTACTCTCAGGTTGATCTCTCCCAGTCATGTACCACCCTGCCTCTGACCTACTGTCAGGTTGATCTCTCCCAGTCTGACATCTACCACCCTGCCTCTGACCTACTCTCAGGTTGATCTCTCCCAGTCATCTACCACACTGCCTCTGACCTACTGTCAGGTTGATCCCTCCCAGTCATCTACCACCCTGCCTCTGACCTACTGTCAGGTTGATCTCTCCCAGTCATCTACCACCCTGCCTCTGACCTACTGTCAGGTTGATCTCTCCCAGTCATCTACCACCCTGCCTCTGACCTACTGTCAGGTTGATCTCTCCCAGTCATCTACCACCCTGCCTCTGACCTACTGTCAGGTTGATCTCTCCCAGTCATCTACCACCCTGCCTCTGACCTACTGTCAGGTTGCTAGGCAGTAGTCACCCCTGTCTTAACAACCCCTGTTATGTAACAAGGCTCCGTTAGTCGTTAGCTAAGGAACATCTATCAATGGAAACAATGCAGCTATCATGTGGACAATAGTGGCCCATCATTTAGTGTGGAGATATATAGGACTGAGTACTGTTAGGAATGTGTCTTCTTGACATGCTGCCTGTGTGCTAGTGGGATAGCTCTGTCTGTGCCTACCTCCAATATTTACTCAGTGTAGTATGTTGTAATGCTAATACTTTTCCTGTGTGATGTATGTTAGCTGGGAAGGTACAACTTGCTTCCTTAGCATGAAAAGAAAGTGTCTGTTTGAGTGAATCCTGTGTGTGTGTGTGTGTGTACATGTGTGCATTCATGTGTGTATATGTGTATTTATGTGTCATTGCTCAACAATGACGGCCCCACATCCCTGAGCGCGGTAACTAGCGTTGCCATGGTGACTCTCTGAGTGGCCATGCTGCTTTGGAGAGAGAGAGAGACCTTTTGTTTGGCTGGCTGCCTCTCTATAAACCAGTACAGTCCAGTAGAACCACACACTCAGCACTAAGCCGAGAGTCTATATAACACACTACAGCGCAGCAATACCACACAGATAGATGGTCTTAGAGACCAAGCACCAAACCCACTAATCACATCCCAGTGTTAAAGAGTCAGCGCCACATTTTGGCCAGTAAGCCTTTTTTTCTACTTACCATTTTTATGTCTCTGCCTGCAGTTTGAAGGTCGTTTCTGGAGCCGTTGCTAACTAGTGTTAATGCAATGACTGGACGTCTACAGGATCAGCTAGCATGCTGTCGACCTATCCCTTTAAACCACAGTGGTATGTCAGTAGACAATGTCCTCTGTGGTATCTCAGAGAACTACATTGAATAGAAATTGGGTTACCCCAGTTATTGACCTAGTATAGTAGAAGCCACTTGTCGGGTTTCCCACGGTAACAACTGGGTTTTACTGTAGTTAGGGGGCCAGGGGAATGAATGATGTGACTCGGGGAGAGAGAAAGACTACAGGGTCAAATATTTAGATCAGGGGTGAGAGTCGTTAGTGTGTGTGTTGTAATGTAAAGTGTGTAGGCTTGTTAGTGTGTTGTATTGTAGGTCAGGTTCTCTGGTTGTGAAGGGGGCAGGAACAGTTTTCTCCACTTTAATAGTCAATACATGGGTCAGAGTTCATGGAAAGAACTAATATCCAGAGTGAGTGAAACAGAAAACCTCTCTTCTCCTCTCTGCTTCGTAATGACGGCCAGCCAGTCGGGCAACGGTGCCTTAGCCCAGTACCCAGCAGTGAGGGGAGCAATTCCAGGAGTAAGTTCCAGCTAAGCTGCTCTCGATGTGGGCAGAGAGAGGAGGGCCGTCCAGGAGGGCCTTGGAGCTCATTAAACCCTCTTCCTGTCTGCCTGATCCTTACAACTCTCTCTGACAAGAGTTGTTTTGCTTAGAACCCTGGACAGCTTGTCACTGCTTCAATCCCCTGGAGGCCAGACAGAGGTTCTACTTCTCAACACTGGACAGTCTGTCCTGTACCAGCCTGAACAATAGACAGATATGGGCAGCATATTGACAAGGTTGGATCCTTGCTTCAAACCACTGGAGGCCACAGGAGAAATATTGTGCTCCTTTGGGGGTAATAGAAAAATAGGACTGCAGACTCTGCACTCTTCGACAAACAGAGGTTTTATTCCCATTCAGGCAGGGTTAAACCCAGGCAGCTATAGTAGGAGCACGTAAAGATGTATGGGTCAGGTTAGTAGAGCCTCTCATAGGAGGCTGTGCATACTTACAATATGACAGTGCTAATAACCTTCTGAATACCTTCTGTGTGTGATATCAATATGAGTGGATTTAAGTCCTTTCTATGACGCTCTAGGTTTGTATCCTTCTTTTAAAGAATGTTGCTTCACCCACTACATTTCTAGCCTTGTAGTGTGGCTCTGACTCAGGTATTTGCATGGTCAGCATGGTAACAGCCAAGATACAGTATACTCCCTACGTGTATTTTAGCCAAGATGCGTATCTCTATAGCTACTGTACAACATTCCAACACACAGCCAAGATCAAACAACCACATTAGGGGGGAAGTAAATGTTCTTCCCTAATCTCTTCTCTCGCTCCCTCTCGCTCCCTCTCTCTCCATCCCCCGCTTTCTCTCTATTCCTCTCTCTCTCTCTATCTCTCTCTCTACACCTCTCTCTTCACCCCTCTCTCCCCCCCCTCTCTCTCTCTATACCTCTCTCTTCCCCCCTCTCTCCCCCCCCCCCCTCTCCTCTCTCTCTCTCTCTATATACCTCTCTCTTCCCCCCTCTCTCTCCCCCCCCCCCCCTTCTCTCGTACCAGCCTGTGCCACATTATAACACATTTGTGTGAGCGTGGCTAAGCTTTTTTGCGGAGTTGTATATGAAGTTGAAATATGAAGTATCGTTAGTGAATCATATTGCCAGAGAGGGAAACAGAAAGAGAAAGAGATAGTGTTATTGTAACACAGAGCTGCTGTTAGTGACTTCACTGCCCATGTATTTGTGACATCACTGTGATGGTACTCGTAATATCAACAACTCATTTGTCTACAGACTGACTGGGAGCTCCCCAATTCAATCCACTACAGATAAAGGCAAACAGCACCAGGTTCAGAGTGCTTGAGTCAGGCTGTATTTCAAGGACAGGTGTGGTGACTCAAAGGATGCATTTCTCTGCCTCTTTCATCATTGCTTTTCAACAAAAACTGTATCAATGACAACTACATTAAAGTTTAATCCATATGACTTTGAAGTATCTTCAACCGTCTTCATAAAGCAGAGGTTGCTGACTACTCTTCACAGGTCCTCGAGGTCAGCCATGTCACGGTTTCGGCCGAGGCTGCCTCTCTCCCTTGCTCGGGCAGGCTTCGGCGTTCGTCGTCTCCGGAATACTAGCTGCCACCGTTGTATGTTTCTGTGTTCGTTTGCTTTTGTCTGATTGTTGTACACCTGTTATCGTTTAGTGTAATTAGTGTCCTATAAGTTCTCGTTGTGTTTGTCTAGTGTTGTGTGTGATTGTTTTACTGTCGTGCCGGTAGGCTGGATATTTACTGTTTGCTCGGTTGAGCTATTTTGCTCCTTAGTTTTGGAGTATTGTGTCGCACCTGTTTGTGCGCTTGTGTTTTCGCCTACGTGCGGAGCTTTTGCCTCAGGGCAGTTATTTCATGTTTGTTTGCTGTGCATCACTAAAGTCTGTTGGACTAACGTACTGCGTCCTGCGCCTGATTCCACCCACACCCACCTACATCTACCTTGACAGAATCACACACCATACTCGATGGAATCAGCAGGAGCCGCAGCAGCACAGGCGACGTTGGAGGACAGGGTCCGTGAGCAGAATGACCAGATCCTGCGGATGGGGTCCGCACTGCAGGAGGTGATCACCACCATCCGAGGCTGGGAGACCCGAGGGACTCCTCCACCCACCCTCCCGA